TTTTGGCCACGGAGTTGGAGGCGTCTTGGCAGGGGGCAGGGGATTTTGCCCAGGATGCCGGGGGCAGGAGGTGTCTGGTCAGCAGGCTGGGGTTAGGGTGGGATTTTGGCCAGGGGTCTCTGGCCAGGGTAGTGGGGACATGGGTGTCACGTTACTGGATTTTAAGGGGAGCAGTCAGATCACTGCTGCACCCATGAGGGGTTGGGGAGGTTTGCCCCAAAAGTTGGTACAAAGGGGGCAATGTGAGGTGTCAAATGAAAGCTTGTCTTCTACTGATTCTATATATGCTAGTCATGTAATTGTATAATGTTTGTGTGAGAAGTTATAAGCATGTACTCTGAGTGGATACTGAATGTTTCTGCTCTTTGTAGGTGAAGTTATAAGCATGTACTCTGTGTGGATACTGAATGTTTCTCTGTATGTGGTTGAGCAATGGGCAAGGAAGCTTGGTTTATAGACGTACTAATGAGACCTCTATACGCCAAGAACACACCTCCAGAATGGTGACCGATACCTAAGGGCTCCCAGCAGGGAACACAGGGATAGGCCTCGGGGCAGGTGACCTCCTGCAGCCAAGAAGAGACTGGGAAGGAGGTATAAAGATGCCATGTGGCATGCTCCATTTTGGTCTTCAGATTCGCTCTTAATCCCAGACGCTGTTTCGCAAGGAACTACGAGGCAGAAAGAACTGTGGACCCATCCTGACATAAGATGTGCACCAAGGACTTTTACGCCAGCAGATATAACATCTCCACTGCGAGGCTGCATCAAGAAGTGGAAAATTTGATGCATGTAACGTATGATACTTTATCAACCTTACTCTCACGCTTTTCTTTCTGTTAGTAATAAACCTTTAGATTTTAGATTCGAAAGGACTGGCTCAGCGTGATTTTGTGGGCAAGATCCAGGAGGAAAATTGACCTGGGACCTGTGGCTCCTTTCTTTGAACTGGACAGAACTTGTTCGGGGTAAATGAGATTGGGTTCTAAAACCCATCATATGTGTATGAGGCCCAGGGCCATCTGGAGCACGGATACTGCTGGGGTGCCAGATGGGTTTTGCTCGTGAGGCTTCTGGCTGGCCAGTCAGGCAGCAGAAGTGCTCTGTGGGGCTGGTTTGTGGCCTATTTGGGAAGGGCTGCCAGTCAGGAGGCAGAAAGGCCTTAGGGTGAGTGAGGAAGTGACGGGGTCTGGACATGAGTGGGTGGGGACTACTTATTGGTTTTTGCACCACATAGCAGGCACCGTGTAACACGCCTCCCATTGCTCACATCCCCCAGAAGCCTCTTTCAGGCCATAAGCTTTCAGGCCAGAAGCCTCCTGTGAAGTGTTCCCCACAAGTTCCCCCAGCCTCCAGCTCCTCCATGCTCCAGTGTGGGTAGGGTGGGCCAGGAAGGCCTCAGCAACAGTGCCGGCTCCCTGCTCCGGGGGGAGCAAGGAAACGGCTGAGTTGGGCCTCCCTAGAGAGCCATAGGATGCCGACCCCTGATCTGATGACAATGAAGAGGCACATTGTTCTTGGGGAGGATTCTGGCTGAAAGGCACTAGCCTTTAAGGCTGGAAAAGCAGGTGGTGAGACAAATATTTGTTTTGAATTCATTTAGGCTCTTCAGTGAGGTGTTACTGACATTTTACCTTTCAATTCTTTGTAACCAATTCTGATCTTTAAGTCTCATTATTGGTAACCACTGCAAATCTTTCTCTCCGCAGTCAATAAACGTGATGGATTGTTTCATAAATGACACCACTGTGTTTTACTATCAAAATCGTTAGGAACCTCCACTTCTGCAGAAGATTTGCAGCTGTCATTTTCTGTGTGAGGCCTACTGTTCTGTGCTACTCTGCAGTGACGCTGTGTGTGTGTGCCTCAGTTTCCCTGGGCACTGAAGCACTGCATGAGAGGGGTATGGTTGGGTGTAACTAACCGTTCAGTGTCACTAGGCCTTGTGACCTGGAGGTTAGTGCTCTGGGTGGTTGTATTGAATGTCAGCATGTGATACCTCTGTACCTGAACTTGCCAGAGGTAGAGCCCAGACCCTTAGCTGGGAGTTATTTTCATAGCCCAGATTTCCTCCAGCAAGCTGATAGCAGACATGTTAGCAGAGAAGAAAACCATTTCTACCTCTGTCTGCGTGACTCCACTCTGGTCTTTCTGTACATTAGTGGTGGTGCAGTGACTGCTGTGTCTCTTCCCTTTAAGAGTCAGTGAAGAAAGAGGGAGAAGGGGTCTTCAGATATCCAGAGAAACCAAGTCCCTCCACAGGCTACATCTTCAGAAATCCAAGACAAAACCAGATTAGTCATTGAAATATATGACCCCTGTCGTACCTCGGTGTTTTCGTACCTCGGTACCTTTGGTGGTCTGGACTGTCAGTGTCAGCGTCGTCTGGTCAGGGTTGTCCTGGCTCGCTCCTGACAGGACCTCTACTCCATTGTTAAACTTTTGGCTGCGTGCGTAACTATCGGTACTCCCTTTATCTAGAGTTTTAGACCCCGTGCACTTGGGTCAACACAAGAGATCTCTGAGAGGCCCCGGAAACAACAGATGCAGGCAAGGTTTGAAATTAGTCGAGCAGGTTTATTGTCAAATGTGAAGCTCTACCAGTTGGTAACAGAGATCAATCCAATGTTACACCACTGGGCACTATGGCCCGTGTTGACAAGGTACCGACACCAGGCAGGCCTATTGCCATATAACAGATATTAACAGCAGTTAGTCAAAGTTAAGCTACTGTGCATTCTGTTAAGTTTAGGCAATGACACCTGCCGTTCATGTGCCTAGTGTGCCGCTGCCCCCCTCCCTCTCCCCAAGACTGGCCGGAGAGCACCCTTTGTGGTGTCCTTTTATAGACAGGTACAAACAACTTACATTATTTCTTTACGTACTCGGTTGCCACCCTCTGTTGCCTAGATACCACCCCTCACCTTATGCAAGGGGGGCTCTTCTATTTGTCATCCTGTCAGTTCCGACCTGGTCCTGAACCTAGGTTGGTATGTGCCTAACTCCTAGGGAGTTCTTGTACCAGGACATTCCTTAAGATGTTCCGTTACTCCCTTTTGGCTTACAGTGTGTACTTAGTGCTTCCCTGTGACCTTCCATGCTTTAACTTACCCAGTTACAGTTATCAGTAGGGCCTCTTTCTTGGCTCCTGTGTTCCTGAACCAAAGTCTTGCTCGCTAGATTGCAGGCCTGTTGCTGTTTTCATGCTACAGGCCTCTATTTAGGCCTGCTGACTCCATGTTACTGACCCTCACTTACTACATTCCCCCACTTTTTGTCCTTTTATGGGGAGGATGTTTACCCATCGTCCCGGAAAAGCATAATGCATGAACTGAAGGTGACCCAGTGGGCTAAACACTGTCATGTGGACACCTTTGTTGTACCGTTCATACACTCATGCCCTATCTGTCCCTTAGTCTGCACATTCCCTCGTACGACTGATGGACAGATTTTATTTTCCAATTCTTTTCAGTCCCTTATGGTGGGCCTGGGAATGTTAGACCCAGGACCGTACTGAGGAATGCAGGTTTTTTGATTGAGTTTTAACAGGCTTTTCAAATAATTAATATGGAAATGGTGTATCTTTTGTAGAGTATTTAGGCATATTTGCTCAGTGCACCTATGTATATATGGCATAACCTTATAGCCATTTGTAACTTGGTATTGTGATTTGGCTCGTGTGGTACTGCTGATAGCCATACACTTCAATTAGGGCATATATAATTACCATTTGTACTATTATTAATAGTAGACTGAGTGTTTTTTAGTGATTTTAAATACTGGGATAGACATTGTTAGAGTGTGTCCCACAAGATTATATATATAAGAAGCAAAACAGAAATTTGGAGTAGTGACATTATAAATGAGGCCTTTTACGGGGTCTCTAAACTTACAACCCCTAAAATGTGAGAGAACCACTGCCTGTGTAGCACACCACAGATTTTTAACCACATAAATAACCTTCTTTAGGCAGCACAATCATAACAAATTTGTGGGAATGGCCCCTCGATTGCACAGTAACATCGTTCAGTGGGATGCCAAAAATCCCTAGCCTAGAACTCAATATCTTGGACACAAATGGCATCATTTAATAACAATAGCAGTAAAGAATGGGCCAGATTAATCCCAGGTCATGAGTTACCCCCATGGTGGCTTTGATTCCCTGAGCTCATTAATGAGGTGTTGGGTCTTTCTGAGCTCGGGTATTCCCAGTTGCTTCAGGAATAATATTCCATAGATAGCAGATCTCAGTATAAAACATCCTGAATGCACCAAACTGGCAGTTTCTGTCAATGGAAAAACATCACTACGTCTGTGTCTTCTCAGCAGGTACGTGCTGTTGTCCTACATCATAGCCACACACCCATAGAGAAACCATGATGATCCACAGCTATTGTATTGAAGATCCTCAACACTAAATACCTGAGCCCAGATCCAACCCCTCCAACTGAAGGAAAAACCTCTGCATTTGGAAAAACAGGCAATTAAAAGAGTCACTGAAGGAAGTGCTTTCTCTGGGCTTTCCTAAGGACTAAAGAACATGACATTTTTAGGTGCCAAAAAGTGTCATGAGTACAACACGCAAGCTTTATCCCAAGCTGAGATGCTGAGCCACAGATCTCCCCTTGCCTAAAGAGAGCAGAGAGATTGACACACATTAATCTCAGCCCTTCTTGATCTAAGCATTAATCTCATCCAACTGAGATCGTTTCACCTGATTCTCCTACAGTGGAGGCACAACTCACTGTTTGCTGCTCGGATTAGTGAAGAGGAGTGTCTGTGTGTGCAGTATGGTTAACCTGCGTGTCATTGTATTTCTATAGTGTGTGCATTGTATGGAACAACTGGAATGACCACATGAGAACATCTGGCTCTGTGGACCAAGCCTTTCTTTCAGATCATACTGGTACCCATTTTTCATCACTTACTTCAGTAGAGAGAAGAGACTTTTCTATAGAGCCATCCACCTACCCACATCCCTGTAGCTGCCTGCTCTCAACTCAGAGGAGATGGAAGAGGGAAATCACTCAGAAGTGACCGAGTTCATTCTCTCCGGACTGACAGATCGTCCGGAGTTGCAGGTCCCCTTGTTTGTGTTGTTCCTACTGATTTTTATCATCACCCTGGTGGGGAACGGGGGGATGATCTTGTTAATCAAGACCGACCCAAGACTCCACTCCCCTATGTACTTTTTCCTTGGGAATTTGTCTTTCTGTGATCTCTGCTATTCCTTGACAATTGCCCCCCAAATGCTGCAGAATTTCTTAGCGGAGAGGAAAAGCATTTCGTACACTGCCTGTGCCGTGCAAATGTATTTCTTCATCGCTTTTTCAGATCTTGAATGTCTCTTGCTGGCTGTGATGGCGTATGACCGTTATGTGGCCATCTGTAACCCACTGCTCTATACGGTCACCATGTCCAGCCGGCTTTGTAACCTGCTGGTGGCTGGGGTGTATGGGGTGGCATTGGCGGATGCAACGACAGGCACGTATTATATATTCCAGCTGTCATTCTGCCACTCCAACGTCATCAATCATTTCTTCTGTGACAGTCCCCCACTGCTGGCTCTGTCCTGCTCTGACACCCACATCCTTGAGATTTTGATATTTGCCTGTGCATGCTATACTGTAGCGACAAGCATTGTGACCATTGTCCTCTCTTATGTCTGTATCATCTTCACAATCCTGAGGATCCGCTCTGCTAAGGGCCGGAGAAAAGCCTTCTCCACCTGCACTTCCCACTTGACTACAGTGGGCATGTTTCATGGTACCCTCCTCTTTATGTACCTCCGACCCACCTCCAGCTACTCCATAGACACTGACAAAATAGCTTCTGTGTTTTACACACTGGTGATCCCCATGTTGAACCCTCTCATCTACAGCCTGAGGAACAGGGAGGTGAAGGGCGCCCTGAGGAAAGCCATGAATAAACTCCTGACCCATTCTTGAATCCTTTTATCTCAGTCCAAACTTTTTGTGGCACTGGAGTTGGCTTTATGATGTAGTTGCAAGTATGAAGTATGTGATGTTTATAGCTGTACCAAAGGGCGTTTTCACACTCTCCTGATACTCTGCGACTCTGTATGTGCTCTGTGGGGTGGTTGTAGAGATTGTTACTTGGTTTCTGTCCATATGCAAGGAGGAGAAAGGTGATTTGCATGGCAATGAGCTTTATTGTAAGCTAAGGGCACAGCAAAACATGTAAGAGCAGGAGTAACATTCCCAAGAGATGGCACAGTATGGGTGCCTGCTGTGTGGCAGTTTTCACTGAAATGAATAGTCAATAGTATGGAAACAGTGAGTTTGCTCCACAACAGCTGTTAAAAAGCAAGTTCAGTCACCCAGGCACCAGATAATTATGCCACAGTAGTGGGTTCGCTACGAGTTCTTTCTTTCTCCCAGACTCATAGGATCGTAGAACTGGAAGAGGTCATCTAGCCCAGGTAACTGCCCAGCACCAAGCATTAACTCGACTTTCCCGAACAGGTGTTCATTGAACATGCTCTTACAGATCTCCAATGATGGAGATTCCACAACTGTGAGACAGGTGTGTCGTCTAACCTGCCCCCGTAACGAAAATTCCACAACTTCCCCAGTGTTTAGTTATCATGATGATGTTTTCCCTAATGTCTGACCTAAACCTACCTTAACCCTAACCCTAACCCCTAACCATAACCCACTTAACCCATTGCCTTTTGTTATACCACTAACGTTTTTCCCTATTCTTTGTAACACCGTTGACATGTTTGAAATTTCTCATCATGTCCCCTCCAAACCTTCTGTAGGGAGTAATTCCAGACACACTGGGTGCAGGTGAAAACAAGCTGAGGATTTATTGTACACCACCGCTGGTGGAGTACCACCCAGGGGTTAACCTGGTTAGCACTAGTTAAATCAAAACATACATTAGATTATATAGGCAACAGATAGATGGAGTGAAAGTGATTTGATAGGTCTAGTGGTGGAAACATGATGAGCACATAAGCCAATGAACTACAAAGGTTACACAGCATCTCTGCACATCACCAGTTAAACATCTTATCAATAATACTAGTAATTATTTCTAACAAACAAAATAAGCTAACATAAACAAAAGCATGTCGGACGGAAATATGATGCGTCTACTGTGGGGGGTGATATTGCCTTGGGTTGGCGCAGAATAAGGCGGACAGTGAAAAATCCTGCACTGTTTCTCTGATACCAGTCTTATCAGAGTGAGGCACTTTTGGAATGTGGTTGCCAGGGATACCAGGGTCATGGTAGGTGCCCGTGCTGTTAATTCCCAGGCCTCAGATTTAAGATTTGAGTTCTCAGTTCTCAGCAAGATACCATGGGCTGCCTCAATTTACCCCTACATACAAAGTAAACCCAATACTTCCAGTCTTTCCTCGTAGGTCATGTTTCGCAGACCTTTAATCAATTTTGTTACCCTTTGTTGAACTTTGCCAATTTTTCCATAGGTTTCCACAATGTACCAGTTCAGTCATGATCAGCATGGAGTAGAGTGAAAGCATTGCTTCTTCTATCTTGCTTACAGCACTCCGACTAACACATCCAAGAATGGAAGATTTTTGCTTTCTTTGTTTTTTGCATCAGTGTTACAGTGTTGACTCAATATACTCTGTGAGCCACTATGACCCCTAGATTCCTTTCTGCACTGCTCCTTCCTAAACAGTAATTTTCCTTTTTGTGTGTGTTCCTTCCCAGGGAAGTACTTTCCATTTGTCCTTCTTGAATTTCATCCTATTTCCCTATGATCATTTCGACAGTTTGTGGACACTTGTAACTTCTCCCAGCTGGGTGTCATCTGCATCCTTTATCGGACCAGTCTCTGTAGCACTGATGACAATATTAATCAGAACCGGACTCAGAACTGACCCCTCATTTTGAGACATTTCTGGACACTGCCCTTTTTTTTGTCCTGGATTTTTCTCAGCGACCAGCACTGCCAATACTGTAAGTCTATGTAAGTTATACCACTTCATGCAGATATAACTCAGTTTGACTTACAACAGACTCCACCCTGCTGTGTTAATGGGAAGGTTGTGTACCAGAAGTCGTACAAATTCAATCACTTGATACCATCAGTGTAGACCAGCCTCAATAAGAATCCGTGATGGAACACAGGGTACGTCTACACTACAACGTTAATTCGAACTAACTTAGTTCGAATTAGTTAATTCGAACTAAGCTAATTCGAACTAACGGATCTAGACTAAAAAACTAGTTCGAATTAGCGTTTTACTAATTCGAACTAGCACGTCCACACAGAGTGGACCCTGAACCAGGCTTAAGGATGGCCGGAAGCAGTGCCGGCAGGGCATCAGAGGAGGACTTAGAGCGTGGAGATGCTGTCTCAGGCTAGCCGAGGGCTGTGCTTAAAGGGTCCCGACCCCCACCCCGGACAGACAGTTCTCAGGGGTGCCCC